CAAGTCCATTATGGCATCATATTATAGGTTTGTAAGTTCTTCATACTAATTTCATGATTAATTTTTTATTTTGCAATTGTTTTATTTTAGCTTCTATAGCATTTAGTACAGTAAATATTTTTCTATCCCTATTATTTAAAAGTAACTGATCTTTTCGTTATTTTGCTACTGAATTCTTGACTACATATTTTTCTATTACTGCCTTTTTTATTTGAAATTGTTAAAAGTAATTATTTTTAAGTTATATGGATTAATAGTATAACTGTTGTAGTATATTGTATTTAGGGAAAAGGGTAGATATACCCTCAACTTTGTCATTTGAAGTTGATATGTCTCTTGTTATGAAAGTGATTCATACATACCCTTAACCATTATACAAACAACTCACATATACCCCTACCGCCACAAAAATGAGCTCACATATACCCTTCATTTAATGAAAATGAAACAAATAGTTTTTGATCTAATATGAAGAATTGTGAAATAGAAAGTTTAATGATTGAGAGAAGAAAGAAGAGAGAAAGAGAAGAAGTAATTTGACGATAGTTTGTGTTATTGATATTTCATCTATCTCAAAACGGAAAAGGACCTAAAATACCCTCGAAGTATTGAAAATGGTACACAATTACCCCCCCCCCCCATCCACGTATTAGCCCCCAAATACCCTTCACATCCACCTTTGGGTCCAAATTTACCCCTTCATTAACGGACCAAAATTTTAAAAAAATATATAATTTTTAATTACGTGACACTCAACCATTGGTTGTAATTTAATTATTTAAAATAATTTAAAACCCACCCATTACCCACCCATTTTAACTAAACCCGCCCATTACCCACCCATTCATTGAAGCTCCAAAACTAAAGCACAGAAAAAATGGCAAAAGGAGGTGGTCTAACCTACGCTTTAATCGTTACAATTCTAACTTGCGCATTTTCTCTACTTCCCTTTCACCATACATCAGTAGCAGCAGCAATCCCAGAAGAATTCAAAATTCGGCAAGTCACCGACGGTCGAAATCCGACAACCACCGCACACGGCGGAAGCAACCACCACCTCCTCGGTACTCCCACCGAGCACCGATTTAAGTCATTCATACAGGAATACAACAAAGAGTACAGTACACGTGAGGAGTACATACACCGCCTCGGAGTTTTCGTTAAAAATCTCCTCAGGGCGGCGGAGCACCAGACTTTGGATCCTACGGTGGGTAATGGGCGGGTTTAGTTAAAATGGGTGGGTTTTAAATTATTTTAAATAATTAAATTACGACAAATGGTTGAGTGCCACGTAATTAAAAATTATAATTTGATTTTTTTTAATTTTGGTCCGTTAATGAAGGGGTAAATTTGGACTCAAAGGTGGATGTGAAGGGTATTTGGGGACTAATAGGTGGATGGGGGGTAATTGTGTACCATTTTCAATACTTAGAGGGTATTTTAGGCCCTTTTCCAATCTCAAAATGATTTATAGATACAACTATATATAGTAAAACTATACCTAACTAATCTTGATAATTTGTTACACATTGTTATACAAATACCACTTCAAGAAGTTAGTTACACAACTAACTTCTTGTAACCTATATAATTAATTAATTAACTTCACCGTAGTATCTTTAACACTCCCCCTCAAGTTAGGTACCCTAAATATGTTTTGAATAACTAACTTGCAACTCAAAACTTCATGTTGAACTCTAGGCAAACACTTGGTCAACACATCTGCTGGTTGCTCATTAGTACAAATGTAGTTAGTAGAAACCAATCCTTGCATAACCTTTTCTCTAATGAAATGACAATCTATCTCAATGTATTTTGTTCATTCATGATAGACTGGTTTGCAGCTAATTGTATAGCAGCCTTAGTATCACTATAAATCTTAACTGGAAGTTTAACATCCACACCAAACTCTTTTATCAATCCAATTATCCATATTAGTTTTGCCACTGTGGATGTCATGCTCCTATATTTTCACGTGATAGGAGAGTCACCAATCTTCACTATATATCTAGTTACAGACTTCCTAGAGTTAAGACATGCAGCCCAGTCAGCATCACAATAGGCTGATATATCCATGTTGCTATTGCTAGATAGTAGAACTCCTTGCCCTGGCTCTTTCTTCACATATCTAACTATCCTGACTGCAGCCTCTATATGAGACTATAGGAGCTTGTAAAAATTGACTCAATGTTTGAACACAAAATGAGATATCAGGTCTGGTCATTATAATATATAAAAGTTTTCCTATTAGTTTCTGATAAGTTCCTTGATCAGCCATAGGTTCTGCTTGATTTTGAGTACATACTCATCATATTCCTTTGATGTTAATTTCACATTTGCATTCATAGGAGTCATAGCATGTTTTGCAGCTCCTAAAAATGTTTCAGAAATCAGTTCTAGAGCATATTTTCTTTGATGCATAAGAATCCCCTTTTTTGACCTTGCAAACTCAATGCCAAGAAAATATTTTAGCTTTCCTAAGTCCTTATCTTGAATGCTTCCTGCAAATACCTTTTAGCCTCACTGATCAAACTTATACTTTCACCTATGATGAGCATGTCATCTACATATATCAGAATGATTGTGATGCCTTTGGCGCTCCTTTTAATGAATATTGAATGATCATACTGACTCTGCATAAACTTGAACTTAAGAAGTGCCTCAGTTAACTTAGCATTACATTGCCTAGGAGCTTGTTTAAGACCATACAAGGATTTTTTTTAACCTGCACACTGCCTTTGTTGTATCCCCTCGACTTAGAAATCCTTGAGGCAACTCCATGTAAATATCATCAAACAAGTCACCCTGTAAGAAGGCCTTGATACATCCATTTGATGTATATGCCACTGCTTTGTTGCTGCAGTAGATAGAACAGACCTCACAGTCTTCATTTTGACTACTGGAGAAAAAGTTTCTTGATGATTTATTCCTCCCCTTTGACTATAACCCTTGGCTACTAGACTAGCCTTAAACCTTTCTACTTCACCAGTAGATTTGTATTTGATCTTGTAAATCCATCTACATCCAATAGGTTGTTTTCCTTCAGGCAGAGATACTACTTCCCAAGTTTTATTTTGTTGTAAAGCTCTAATTTCTTCTTTCATTGCTTTCACCCACCTAAGATCTTTGATGGCTTCATAATAACTACTAGCCTCAGTATAAGCAGAGAAAGCAACAACAAATGCTTGATACTTAGGTTCCAAATGATCATAAACAATATACTTGGACATTGGATAAAGCATTGTTTCATTCACACTTAGAGACACAAAGTCTTTTAACCATACAGGATAATTTTTGTCTCTCTCTGACCTTCTTGTGCTTCTAACTGGTGCCACAGGAACTGCACTTTCTTCTGCTTGTGAACTTTGAACTAGACTTTGTGATATTGTGCCTCCATTAAGAACACTTCTTTCAATGTCATCTCTATCATTATATCCAACTTCACATGGAACATACAGCCTGTTAGAAGACACATCAGTGTTTGTTTTGAAGGGAAAAACATCTTCCTTAAAAGCTACATCTCTACTAACCAACACCTTCTTTTTGTCTAAGTCATAGAGAACATACCCTTTTTGAGTCATTGAATACCCCAAGTGAACTGTCATATTTGATCTAGGATTTAACTTATCCAACTCATTTACTACTTTTGCATAACAGAGACATCCAATAACTCTTAAATGTGAAATATCAGGTTTCTTCCTGTATAGTACCTCATATGAAGACTTTTTTTGTAACACTGAACTAGGCAACCTATTAATTGTGTGTACAACAACTAACACACTTAACCCCCATAGCTTAATAGGTATCTGAGCTTGGAACCTTAAGGCTCTTGTGACTTCTAGCAAGTGCCTATGCTTTCTCTCAGCTACTCCATTTTGTTGAGGAGCATATGCACAACTTGTATGATGAATTATACCAAAGTTGTTAAATAATTCTTTACATACTGAATTGACAAACTCAGTACCATTATTTGATTTGATAACCTTAATAGATCTACCAAACTAAGGTTTAGCATACACAATAAACTGTTTAATAACTACACAAGCATCAACCTTCAATTTTAACAAATAAACCCAAGTCATCCTTGAAAAATCATCAACTACAGTGAGGAAAAATCTATTACCATCAAAAGTAGGCATCCTGTAAGGCCCTCATACATCCTTATGTACAAGTTCAAAGCAAGCTGAAGTTTGAATACTACTTGTAGGAAAGGAATTTCTAACTTGTTTTGCACATGGACAAACACTACAATTATGCAATGTCATTGCTATATATTCAGCTTTGATTGACAGAACCTTATTAAAAGACTTTGTAGATGCATGCCCAAGCCTCTTGTGCCATAGATCACATCTTCAGACTTCTTGAGAGTATGACTTCCTTTCACAGAACACAAAAAATCACTGCTAGAAGATTGTTGTAACTTGGACTTTCCAGATAACACATACAGTACATTCTCCTCTCTACCAATCTCCCTCGCCATTCAATTGGAGAGATCATGAAATAGGCTAAAATCAGGGAGAAAACTTACTCAACATCCTAACTCTTTTGTGAGTCTTGACACAGACTACAAATTGAACTTGAATTGAGGCAAATGCAACATATTAGGTAAAGAAGTCCTTGTAGATTCATTACTAGTTCCTGTATGAGTAACTTTTCCAATGTTTCCATTTGGTAAATATACTTCTCTAGACACCATAGTAGGTTTATTTAACAATCTTATATCAGCTACCATATGATTAATGGCTCCAGTGTCCACTATCCACTCATTAATATTGTTAACTACACAATCACTGGCCTGATTTACATTGTCTTGACTCATACCTGCTAGGCTTGCTGAGAAAACTAAATTTGCAGCAACTCTGTTGTCCTCAACATTCTTCAAAAGATGCACAATATGATTATATTGATCTTTGGTAAATGGATACAACCCCATCTCAAATGTTCTGTTTTGTGGAGAAGAATCCACTTTTTTTCTTTGTAATCTGACATATTTTCTTCTGCTATATTCTCATTTGTGGCACACTTTTCTGACCCTTGAAACTGATTATCAGTGATTGCATTATGAGCTCTTGCATTTGAATTATATCCATTACTATTCGTCTGCACTCTTTTTTCCTAAGCTTGTTATAATCTGATGGATATCCTACCAACTTGTAACACCCTTCTTTGGTATGACCCTTCATTCTACAAAACTCACATTGTACATTATAATTCCTCTTGTATCTATTAGTACCATTTCTTGTAAACATAGCCATGTCAATATTACTTCCACTTGCTGCAGGATTTGGACCCAAGATTCTTGTGTTTGCAGCTATAGACCTTTGTCCTTCATCACTAATGATCATTCCATATGCCCGATTAACAGATGTCATAGGACTCATTAGCAAGATTTGACTTCTTGCTTTATTATAAGAGTCATTTAGACCCATAAGAAATTGAAACAGCTTTAATTTTTGAAGATGTACCACAAAATCTTTGGATCTATGATAGTTACAACCGGGATTTGGAACAAGATCTTCAAACTCTTCCCATAAGTTTTTCAATCTAGAAAAATATGCAGAAACTATAGATGTACCTTGACTCAGTGTTGCAATCTCTGTATGTAAATTGTAAGTTCTTGAACCATCAATTTTGTTGAACCTTTCGAAAAGTTCCTCCCATACTTCTTGAGCATTAGAGGCATACATTATACCTCCTAATAATCCTTTTTCCACTGAATTCATAAGCCATGAAAGAACTACTGTGTTCACTCTCTCCCAGTGATTTCCCATCTCATTTGGAAACACTTCTTTATTGCACGATCCATCCACTAATCCCAGTTTGTTCCTTCCAAGCAAAGCTACCCTCATTGACCTATACCGAATTGAGTAATTCTCTACTCCTGATAATTGAAAAGATATAATTTAGGTTTCACTTACATCAAGATGAGACAGAAACAATGGATGATTATAATCAATACCAGTCTTTTTGACTTGATTGAGTAGAATGTAATGCTTCCCCTGTCATTGAAAATTGTAAAGAAAATACTACAACAAAAATTCAGAGAGATTGATTCTTCAATCTAGAATTAGTATTGATACTATGAACTAGAATATCTAGTTACTGCTCTAATACAATAATCTAATATGAAGAATTGTGAAATAGAAAGTTTAATGATTAAGAGAAGAAAGAAGAGAGAAAGAGAAAAAGTAATTTAACGATAGTTTATGTTATTGATATTTCATCTATCTTAAAATGATTTACAGATAAAACTATATATAGTAAAACTATACCTAACTAATCTTGATAATTTGTTACACATTGTTACATAAATACCACTTCAAGAAGTTAGTTACACAACTAACTTCTTGTAACCTATTTAATTAATTAAGTAACTTCACCACTAGTATCTTTAACAGTTTTAAATTTATATTAGGGATAATACTCAATTACCACCCTAGCCTATATCCAAAATCCCCGAGACACACCTTATCTTTGATGAGGTCCTATTACCCCCTCCAACTTTTTTTAAGTAAATGTTTACCACTTTCGTACCTACGTGGCAACAATAATCAGAAAGGTAGATCGGTTTTTTCAACACGCGTTGGGGCCTATTTTTGCAGCTTTCTAAAAAGTGACTATTACCTACTTTTACACTTCCCAAATTCAAAAAAGCTCGCCATTTAAGTTTTCAAATTTTCTTTACCAAAAAGAAGATAAAGGAACAAGGAAAGAAAGATGGAAAGTTTAGCTTGGTTTCAAGGTTTCAAAAAATCAACAAAGGTTAAAAATTTGATTTCAAACTTATAGTTAATTTTCTATGTTGGATTTTGATAGTTAATTTTTGTTTCAGTGCTGCATGTGTGGATCAATTTTAATCGTGAAAGTGTGGTTCAATTTCATTCAGCAAGAATCGTGGTTGAGTTGAGTTCAAAGGTTAGTTTCTTCATTTATTTTGTTTTTTGTTATTGTTATGCTTAGATTTTGTAGGGGTTGTGATATGTTGTTAAATATTGGTTTCGATTTTGAGTGAAATATGACTTTAATCTTATTTTTAGGGTTTATGTTATGGTTTTGTTAGATATCAAATTTCGTATTTTTAGGGTTGATGTTATTCACATATTCATATTGTCACCTTTTTTGTTATGGGGTATGTAACTTGTTATTCATACATTTATATGAAACGTGTTTTGAGTGTGGGTTGGTTGGGTGGTATTATAGTTGTGTGAGTTATGTTGTTATAGTATGAAACATGCAAGAAAATAAAGACGAGTAGGGTGTTGTGTTGTGTTGTCTTATATTCAGGGTTACAATAAAGTAACTTCATGTTGGGTGTTGTGTTGTGTTTGTGTGGGTGTGGGGTTAAAGTTAAATAACATTATCCTAAGAAGAAAATATATGTTGGGTATTGTGTTGTGTTTGTGTGGGGTTGCATGCCTAATTGTAAGAAGATAAAGACATGTCGTGTATTGTGTTGTTTATGTGGGGTATTGTGTTCTGTATGTGTGGGGTTGGGTATGTTGTTTGTTCAACTTGAATTGTTTTTATAACTATTTGGGTATGTGTTTTCTTTAGTCAATTATTATATTCTATTAGCAACTTTTACTTAATTATTGTTATGTTTATGCATATAGGTGTGAGTGGGTTTAAATTCATTACTTTAAAGTTGCATCATGGTGTGGCCTTGTTGTATGAAGGTGATAAAGCAAGATATGTGGGTGGTTAGTGAGTGAATATTATGATATTGATGTGGATACAATATCATATTTTGAGATTAAAGACTACATTAAAGAACTAGGGTATAGCCCAAATAGCAAATTTAGTGTCCGACCACCTAATAGTTGCATCTTAGGAGATATTGACAATGATGATATTCTCTTAGCAATGTGTAATTGTTTGCAAAGTGGGTCTGTTTTGGAAGTATATGTCCACATGCCTCGTGAGGAATCTGATGCAACTTTTAATAAAGTTGGGACCACTAAGGCTAGTGGATATAATGAAGTAGGTGAGGCTGCTTTTAATGGGGTAGATATAACTATAAATATACCTCAAATATTCCTTTTACTTCAAATTCAACAGCTCCAAATAGTGATCCATCAGATTCTGAAGATAGTGAATACTCTGTAAAAGTATCTGATGAGTCAACTGAAGAGAGTGATGATTCCAAAGATAGTGAAATACTTGAAGATGATCAATCTGGAAGTGATGTTCATGAGGAGTTAATTCAACTAAGGGCTGAGAAAAGATCTTTTCTAAGGAGGAGAAAAAGAAGGGAAAGAATTCCTGCAGATACTGAAAGAAGTAGCATGTAATAATGCTGGAGCAGATCTTGGATTTGATGAGACAGCTATCAATAGATGTACTTTAGAAGGAAGGTTGAGGGGTGATGAACCATATTATTCAAGTTCTAATGCTTGTACTTTTGAAACTGACACAGATGATAGTTGTTTAGAGGAAGGTGAAAAAATGAAGTTGAAACTACCTAACACAAAAGGAAAAAACATACCATAGAGAGAGTCAGATTTGATCCCAACATTAAGAAGATTGTGTGGCAATTGGGTATGGTTTTTGAAAGTGTAAAAGAGTTTAGAATGACAGTCACTAAGTATGCAATTCAGAGAGGGGTTCAGATTGAAAAGTGTGTGAATGAGCCAAATAGAGTAAGGGTGAGATGTTGCAAGGTAAATTGCAAATGATTGTTATATGCAAGTTTGGACAAGAAGACTAATAACTTTGTTATTAAGACTTACATGTCAGTCCATTCATGTCAAAAGGCTACTGGGAAATATTTGTGCAACTTTGCATTCATTGCTACTGGTTTTATAAAGAAAGTTATTGAACAACCAAATATCAGAGTGTTCAAGTTGCAAGAGTTAATCCGTAAGAAGTATAATAAGCATGTTGCTAAGACCATAACTAGAAGAGCAAGAGCTAAAATTTTGAATGAACTTATGGGTGATCATGTTAAGGAATTTAGGAGAATTCTTAATTATAAGGATGAGTTGTTGAGGTCTAATCCTGGAGTATTTGTGTGGTGAAGCTAGGAGAAGCTAATGAATCTGTTAGGCCAGAATTTGAGGCATTTTACATTTGTTTTGCTACACTCAAGATGGAATTTATGTCACCTAGAAAATGCATTAGTCTGGATGGTTGTTTCTTGAAGGGGGTTTGCAGGGGTCAATTACTTAATGCAGTGGCTAAAGATGGACATAATCAAATGCTTTCACTTGCTTGGGTTGTAGTTGAAAATGAGAACACAATCACTTGGAGTTGGTTTATTTCTCTGTTGAAAAAAGACTTGATATTTGGAGATGGAACAAGTTTCACAATTATGTCAGACATGCAAAAGGTAAACTTGTTTTAAATTATTTAGTTGGTTTATTATTTTTTAAACTTAATCATCTAATTTTTGTTGTAACTTGTAGGGACTGGATATAGCTATAAAGGAGTTGTTGCCAGCTTGTGAGGAAAGAAGGTGTGCTAGGCATATACTAGCAAATTGATCAAAGAATTGGAGAGGGCTGCAAAGGAAGAAGCAGTTCTGGAAGTGTGCTAGAAGTACTTTTGAAGCTGAATTTAGAGAAAATCTCCACGACTTGTCTAAATTAGGTACTGGAGGTACATGTATAGTGGATGACCTAATTTACTATGATAAGAATATCGGTGTAAGGTGTATTTTAATTGTGAAGTCAAGTCTGATGCAAGTCTGGTGTAAAGTGTAATCAACTTACTAATATAATATTTTTTTTGCTAATTAGAAATCAACAAATATTGAGAGTGAGCATGTTGCCAAAAGCGGGAGAGGCAGACCTAAAAACACAAGTGCAACAGGGGATTCACCTACAATTATTGCACCTCCAACAACTTCAAGAACAACAAGAGCTACAACAAGTGCAAGTGCAACAAGGCCTCTCCTAAAACCACTGCACCTCCTACAACTTCAAGAACACCAACACATGAAGCAAGTGCAAGTGTAAATGGTGTTGGAATATTATCAAGATCCAGGAGTGGTAAAGGACGAGTATGGGATTGGAAACTACAGGAAGAGGTAGTAATCATCCACTTGAAAATTGGTTTACATGTTCTCAAAATATTACAACACACGGTGTAGACCAGAACACAAATGTTGCACCAAAAAAAGAATTGCTACTACCAGGAAAGGAAAGGGTGTTGAAAACACAACTCAATTTAAAAGGCCACGAGTCACTGGAATGGGTGTGTTTCAAGATAAAAATGGTTTCAAACTTTTAATGTAAGTATTACGATGCATTCATATTGTTTATTCTCTAATAACTTGCACATTTGTTCTATAATAATCTTAGTTCTCTAAAAAATTTGTAGCCTGGACTGTCAAGTAGCACAATATTAGCCTGACCAAAGAGAGTTTTGATATCAAGTATTGTAACAGGTGATGTTGGTTTCAAACCGACAAGTGGATTGAAGTGGAAATAAAATCAGGCAATCACAACTAGAAGGCTCCAGAAGATTAGAGATCAATCAAGGCTTTCAAATCAAAATGCTTCCTCCTCTTCACAACCTCGACACCCATGGAAACTATAATGTTGATATCAATGGTGTTTTATTAGTAATTTTTTGGTGGCCACTATAAGTACTATTTTGTTTCATGTTTGAAGGAAAAATAAATATTCCTATTTTTTGTTATAGTTCTGAATTATGGGTACTTATGCAATGTGAAAACTTTGTTTTGCTTATGCGTTGTGACTTGTATAATTTTAGGCACATTTAGATTTTGTACTGAAAATTTGCTCTTAAGCAATGAAATTCTGGGCACCTATGCGCTGTGACTAATTCTCGGCACTTTTACAATCAACTTTATACTTAAAATTTGCTCTTAAGAATGATTAATACATCTTGCTTTACTTCATTTTACAACTTCCAACACAAACATATCGACATGGCAAATAGAGAATTAAGACAGTTTCAAACACAAACCAATTCAATTTTACATTACAATAGAGCAAATAAAGGTTTCGTTACCACACAAAATTATGGCAATTTCATATGATCCTTATACCTACCAACTTGGGTTAGAAAACTAACAAATACAACAACAAAACAAATCATCACACAACAAAGGAATTTGCCAAAACAACAACCTTTATTTGTTTTCTTCATTTTCATCTCTTTCATCTTCTTTTACGTTGTCAACCTTCTCCTTTGAATTGATGTTCAGATTTTCATAACAATTTCGAAGACTTTCACCTTCAGCCAAAGAAATTTTCTCTAGTTTTGACTGTTCAATGTTGGAATTATCAAGTTGTTCCAGTTGCATCTTCACACGCTCATAATTCTTTTCTAACTCGTTAATCCTATTCACCAATTTCGGAAGAATAAAACGAGATCTTTCATCAACTCTCTTCGTGTCTCTCCATCTAAAGAAATTATAGTTTGTGGCCTCATCGTGAGTACAAGACCAAAATCGTCTTCCGAAATTGCGATTTGATCAAGACGTTTGCATTTGCAGTAAGATTTCATGCTTGCATCGCACTTCCGCGTTAAACATTGAATTGTTCTCATCCATACACAACTTATTCAACTCGAATTTTGTCATAACCCTAACTTTATAAACATTGTCAAAAAAAAAAGAATTAATAATCGACATAAAAAGATGTAAAGAATATATTAAATTTTACTTTACCTTTTCAAATTAAGGAGCTATTTAACTTGAATGATAATGGAGCTTCTTTAAAAATGAAGAACACTTAAAATGGAGTTTTTTTTTCAAAAGATGAAGACAACTGCTTTAGAGAGAAACATTAATATTTATTTTTGAGTTTTTTTTTTAACTACTTTGACACATGGCTAACTTTTATTGGTCATTGTTATCTAAAATCTTCACTCACACGCCCTACATGGGTGAATTCACTTATATTGCCACGTAGGTACAAAAGTGATAAACAATTACTAAAAAAAGTATGGGGGGTAATAGGACCTCATCAAAGATAAGGTGTGTCTCAGGGATTTTGGGTATAGGATAGGGGGGTAATTGAGTATTATTCCTTTATATTTTTAACTTTTAATTTTCTTAAAAATTATTAGGGGGTATATATGATTCTTCTAGCAGATTTTAAGGTATATTTTAATCTTTTTCGTACATAAATTATTTTTGACTTCTTTAGTTATAATTATTTGACTTTCTTATTCTTATTTTAATTTTTTTCTTTCACTCCTTATTGTAAAGAAAAAAAATTTAAATGTATTTTTCTTGTGTATATTGTCATTTAATTTTTTATTTAAAAAATTTGATCATCTATAATAAGTTTTACAAGAATATTAGTGAAACATAAACAAATTTGACCATCAAAATAATAACTCTAAATTAGTCATTAAAATAAAAGAAAGTCGAAAAAAATATGTTTGAGGAGAATTAAATATACTCACATGGAATTATATTTTTTAAGAAATAAAAAATAAACTAAAATTTATTTATTTTTTCATTTCTGTTAGAGAGAAAAAATATATGTGAATCATTTATATATAAGTAGGGGTATATATAAGTCACATGAAAATATATCTAACTCTAAATGATAAATTTAAGGGTGCATCAAACTCTTTTCCCTTTGTATTTACTTCATTGAGCATTAAGTTGACTGTTAATGGTTCATAGAGTGATTTACTTTTTAGTATTAAAGGTCATTATCGTACAAAATCTAATTAATTTTGTGAAGAGACTAGTGCAACTTAAGTTTAATTTATCTGACAAATTTATTTATTCTTTTGTTGGAAAATTGAGTAGGCTGTACTTAAATGATCCTCCACTTTGATTATTTTAAATTGTCTTCCTTTTGAATTTTTCTATTTCATTAATTTTGGCTAGTATACTTGTATCTGTTTTATTAGTCTTTTTCATATGCTTCTAGTGAACTTTGTATTTATTTTTCATCCTGGCCAATTAAGCCTAAATGCATGATTTATTCACTCCAATTGTTTAGTTAATCTGTTGATTAATGTTATTGAATTTGACGTTTAAAAACAAATGACATTAAAGAAGTATATAGAGCTTATTGAAGAGTAATATTTTTATTATTTTGTTTGTGATTGTTCAAAGATATTGTATGAACATATGTTGTAATTTTATGTTATTAATTTTTATGATTTGATAGATATTATGTCGAAAATATATATTTTTACATATTATATCTCACATGTATGTTCTTCAGTAATTAATATGATGTTATAATTGTTTATAATTGCCAATGAAGTTTTATATGAATATTAGTTATTTGACGTATATTCATATTATATGAAAATAAATTATTTAACGTATATTCTCAATTGCACGTGAAAAGCATATTGGTCTAAATTATACAAACTTAAAATTCCAACCCGCTTAATTGTCACAGAATATTGGCCATGAATGATATTAACTAAAACTATAACATCTATGATGACTAGTTAACTATTATATGTTTGTTTAACCATATGATTTCCCTTTAAGAATGACTTAGGTCTTGTAATTAGCTTCAACATATAGAATAATAATAAAATGTGTATACTAATTAAGTTAAATGATTTAGGTTTTATAAAAGTATAACTTCTATAAATTAGAATTTAGATCTTGTAACTTCAAAGACCTAGAGCAATAACATGAACATTGAACTTATAAACATTAACTTTAGACATTGCATATGGATAACTTTCTAATCTATCAGTATGAATTATTGTATTCATCAAAGGTTCATTTTAGGAGATGATACTTAGATTATAGTCCAAATATAGGTCTAACGACATATGGACTAACATTTTGGATGTTGGATTGGTGATCCGTCCACAACGCATCGACGAGTCTTGGGGGATTTTGAGGCACCCCTCACTCCTCGCGTCATAGATCATTTATCTAAATTAGTCTTTATACGATCGTTAAACTTGATCACATATAATTTCTTCAGACCCTTATGACGGTCATAGTTGAGTGATAGAAGCTACAAGCTCATATCTTTTATCTCCTAAATACTAATTATTAGTATGTACATTTCAAGTAATAACAATAATTCAACTAAGAACAATCAATAAACTTATCATATTACTAAACTAATCACATTTTACAATTAATAAACTAGTAAAAACCTATTTAACACACTAAAATTTGAAAATATTGTATTATAATTTATCAATTAATACAACTAAATACAATAAATAATTCTAAGTAGTAATTAAACCCTATAATACATTTAAATCTAACCTACATAAAACTATCATGGATTTATAAACCTAAATTTTAAAAGAAACCTAACATTAAAGTTTGCAAGGAAGTGGAAAAATAGATTCTCAACATAAAACTAGTATCAAACATATATTGTCACACTTAAAGATTTTAATAATACGCCTCCGGAGGTGGAAAAAATGATATTTATAATTTTTATATTATTTTTTATTTTGTGTGTAATAGTTTTAAAAATATTCTTTTAGGTACACAAAAATAATAATAATTAAACAGATGGGGAAGCATCCCTGCAAATACGAATCCAAAAGATTCCAGATCAAGTCAAGTGGCGTAGTACTGTTCCAACTGGCAAGATTACTAATTTTAATACAATATTTTAATCCCAATAAGACTAGCTCCAACCATATTTATTTCTTTT